GTGCAGTGCCAGACCTGCAAACACTGGGCTGTGTACTGGTACAGGGCACTGTGCAGTCCCAGACCTGCAAACACTGGGCTGCGTCCTGGTGCATTAAAGGGGAAGTCCGGTAAAAAATTAAAATATCAGCGTCCGTAGAGTTTCGGGCGCTGAGTCGAATGGTGTCGGTCCCACGTGTCTCCGACAAAGCGTTCTCGAGATATTTCTGTTTGAAAAACTGAGTTTCGGGGGCTGCGCCATGACGTCATGCGGCCGCGCCACACCCTCCGCAATGTCATAGCGTGCAGGTAGGTCAAATGGAGTGCGTGAAAGCAATAGTGTCAATGCTATTTCAAATGATTTGGCGACAGATAGTACCGTATTTCCCCGATTATAAGTCATACCTTTTTACACTAAAATTCAGTGTAAAAAAGGGGGTGCGACTTACAATCTAGCGTGACATACTACTGAAGTGAATATATCGCAACAATATTGCTCAAACCTGAAAATGGGGTGCGACTTATAATCGAGTGCGACTTATAATCGGGGAAATACGGTAGGTGGTGCAAGGGACCCCGAAGACGGAACTCCTTGTGAGAGTGTAGATGCAGCCATGGCTGACCTTCATGAGTTCGGTCTTGGGCTAAGAACCTCGGTATTCAGCTGAAGAAATGGCAGCGTGGGCCGGTCAAGAGTGAGCGCTGCTGCGTTTCCGACTGATGAAGAAGCAGCAGCTATTGCAGACGAGGCTGATATAATTATCAGATCTCTGGAGAGCAGAGTCGCCAAAATGGAGAAGAGTGATGCGTGTTTCTAAATGTTGTTCCACTCTGATTCGCTTGGACTCCAGTAGCCTGCCACATGTTGATGTTTTGGTGCAAACTTGGCATATTTCAGACTACAGTGGAGAACAGTGCAGGCACAGGCACGACTCTTCGATTCAAGACTCGCAGCACTACGGGATCTGAAAGTATTAGGTCCGGGAGCTGTTCGCTGTTTTGTCACTTGTCTGAAAGTAGTCACCGTTGTGCACTCATCGTTGTAGCATAAAAGAAAGAGGCAGGACTATTCCATGCGGAAAACTAAAATTTTCTAATTCGCAAAGCACAACCACCGCCGGCATCGGCAAGGAGAAATGCACCTTCCCTCACTACATGTACATGATTTTACATACGACTGATCATGTGACGAGTGTAGTACATGACAAGTCCGTGTCTTGACTAGTTCTTTATCTAAGTTTTGAGTTTTTTTTAATCGAGTCTTATTGTAGCTACCCCAGCAGGCCAGCACGGCACTAGTGCGGGAGTAGTTCCGTGTGTGATGAGTTTGTTGACTACACTACAGCGCTAGTCTGCACGCAGGGCAGAGCTAGTTGAGGCCAGTGCGGACGGAAAAGTCCAACTCGGAAACGGCTAAAATAAGGGAAAACCTCGAGGTTTGCTGAACTGAAAATCACAGGGTACGTAATGTTTGTAACACTGAATCGAATGGTCTTGGTCCGAAGAAGCTGCGACAAACGGTTCCCCAATCGAACACGCTCCGAATATGGCCATTTTGTACACAACTAGATGGTGTGGCTGAACTTGCTGCACGCTGTGACGTCATCACCTGGATCTGGGTGATGCGCGCTCAAATTCGCACATGTTCGATTGGGCGTATCTGACGAACCATAGGCCGCTGCCTCCTAGACCTAGGACAAAGACCATTCGACTCAGCGCCCCGAACTCTACGGACTGTGAAATTTTTAAATTTAAAAAAAATATTTTCACCGGACTTCCCCTTTAATTCGTCTATGAACTCCCCCCCCCCCCCCCCCCCTGTCATTGAACACAGCTCTGCATTATACAATGCTGGAAACTGAGATCCGACCCCCTGGGCGGCGCCCAGGGGGTCGGATTTCAGTTGCCAGCATTGTACTATCATCGGTATCCCAACAATACCACAGTCATGTCACGTAGAAATTGTACACTGAGATGAGATATCCTTCACCGCTGTTCTTTGCAGAACGCAAGAAATTCATTCAGCTACTCGAGCCGTCCAAGTACGAAATCACAGAGCAATACAGAATTATACGCCAGCACATACACACAGAAAACACAAGGTCACTAACCAGGAGATGCGGGTGTTCACTGTGACCCTGCGGCCCAGTTTCTCAATGACGTCCCTTTGGCTTTGGACTCTTCGAATAACACCTGCCCGCTATCGCTGCACTGCCTGTACTGAATCAGACTAGACTCCCTACCACCAGAGCGGACAACTGGCGATAGCTAGCGAATCAGCTAGAGAATGGAACCAGAGTACTCCGTCTTTGGCGATGTGTACAATCATGCAAGTAGGTTGTGAAATCTGAACGCACGGACACACACCTATGATAGTGATAGTCTCATCACGTAAGTCCTTCGTCCTTGGCTAGTACTTAGTAGTAGTAGAAGTAGTAGGCTCTAGTAGTAGCCGCTGCTACACGCAAATACTGAACTGAAGTAGAGCGTAGATATACACGGAAACGATGCGTGTTGAGCAGAAGAGAACAGGACTGGAGTGATTATGTTTGTCGCTTCCGTCCGGAGCTACACTGAGTTTATTATCTTATGCTCTCCATGATCCACAAGGTGTAGCGAGCTGCGTGGACGTACTGGCACTACTGGTACTACTGGTACTGGCAAAGGAAAGAAGTGTCTGCTGTTCCCACGGACGTAAACGACGCGGCAGAGTCGGAGGCTTGCTAGCTGTATGCGAAAATATACTAGCATCTAGTTAGTCCTAGTGACCTACTTCCGGGAGTACTGACCTAGTTAGGCTAGTACCTAGTCGTTCACTACAACCAAGACTAGCGAGTAGGGTAACTGCTATTGCTAAAACAGCAGATGGGGGGCCTGTACTGTCGTTGCGCGACTCGAAAACGAAGAACTGACTCAGCTCAGTCGTTGTGCTTGCGGCTGACCTGCAAACTAATATTGTATTATAATTATTATCAAAATAATATTAATGGCGGAGGTTTCTCGCTTCGATCAACTACATGACTACATTGTAGTACTACTTGTAGTACTAGTACTAGTAGTACTGAGTACTAGAGTCAGGCCTCGCTTATCCGGTCCTCTTTTATCCGGATCCCTCGCCTTCCGGAAGAAAATCGTTGGTTACCGATTTGTGGCATATGCCATGCACAGATGCATGCCGTACATACCATACAGTATGGCTGTGTGTTCGATTAGCCGGTTCCCTCGCCTATCCGGATATTTTGTGGCTAAGTAGTAGTACTTCAACTGTAGTACAGACTCAGTGTACTACCTACTGTACTCATGTACTCCAGGCTGTATACTGCACACATCCGTGTCATCCGTTTGCCACCAAATATCCGGGTAGGCGAGGGAACTGGTCTGTATTATACTCTGTGCTACTGTGTCTACCAGGGAGTAGTACAATACCGGGAGGTGACACGGCCACACATCCGGGATTACGAGCTTTGCCTCACAAAAAAAATACAAACCGCGCGAAAATTCAAATTTTTGCTCTTTTGACAGCGATGAGAAACCTTCAAATAGTGACGAGAAGACCAGACGTATCCCTTCGTGACAAGCGGCCACTTGTTCTTTTCAGCTCGAGCCTTTTTTGGGAGCTACTCTGGTACATCGTCCACACTGCTGCCAAGTCTCGACTTCCCAAAATGGATGGAAGTGACGAATATGGAGGACGCTATCCTAGGTAAGTAACGTGATGGAATTTTCTCATTTTGACATGGTGTAACACGAACCTGAATTTCTCATTTGGACCCACTCGGACACCTCACCAAGTTGGGATATTTCGAAAGTATACCTATTTGTCTACCATTCTACTTCATCTCAACGTGTTAGCTTATGTAACTCTTTGTAAAACTCATTCTGAAAATTTTGAAACTTATTAATTTGTATAGACTTGAACATAATGTTCAAGATCACTTGTTTTCAGCACTGAATGAGGCCAGGCCTGCTTGCTTTGTTGCTTTTTTAACCCCCAGAACCCGTGGACAGAAGAAGAAGAGCGACGACTTGGGTGCGGCTGCGAAGTCTGCCTGCCCAACGCCAATTGCTCCTCACCCAAAAAGTAAACAAATTATATAGCAGGAGTGGTTTCAAGTGGTTTCAATGCATTTTGTTTTGGGGATGTTGGTGTGTACTTATGCAGTCCTAGCGTGTTGAGCAATAGCAATCATGAGAAGGGTAATAATTCTGCAATACAACATTGTTGATTATAAATATGACACTGAAGCAATACTGAAACTACGTTTTGGGGTTGTATTTGTTTTCATGCGTGTTCTACAGCGCACCCCATTGACGAAGATCATCCTTGTATAGACGATGATAAATACTCTCATCTGACAAGGTTAGTTGCACAGTTCTACCATATGTGTAAGGTGGACGTCGGATATAACATGGCTTATCTCTTTTTGGTATGCCATCTACTGCACAGAACACGTCATCAGAAGTCACTGCCTGCTGCGAATAACAGCGCATCGTGTATGACAATCTCTTCACCAACAAGTGCTACCCGTAAGTCAGACAGCAGAGTACAGTCATTCAATAATAGCCAAGTAAGCCCATGCTTTATATGCTTATATGACAATAAGCTGATGGAGGAAAAACAGATCCAATTACATAAAAGTACGCCCAAAAAAGCAACGGCCAAACACGCACACACGAGAACAATTTCAATGCTCTTCATGCACACCAACTAGGCTTATAAATCTGCACAGTGTACGTAAATGAAATATCTTATCCGCAGATCGCATCTGACTTGTTTGATAAAACCTGCAGCAAAACTAAAGCACAACACAGACATATCGATGAAGCCTGTGTGGTTTTATGTTTGTTCTGATTCATACAGCCTCTTGTCCATCGTCACATGAAGAACATGGACAGCCGCAAGCTGGAAATGATTTCTCAACAGCAGAGAAGAACGATACTATCACGTTCACACCCTTGACACAGACTTGCGTCATAGTGACATTTGCGAATAGCTGCCCCTGCAGTATAAAATTTATTTTATTTTGTGTTTCTCTCTGACGACTATAGCATCTGGATTCGGAATAGCCTTACTATCTTGAGACGGGTCAGCCATACCTGAAACATGTTGTTCATTGTGACTAAAACTTGAGTCAACATTATCTATTCCCCTAGAAACGACGTGAATAACTAAATGTAATACAAATTAAATTAGGAAGAAAATTTCACTCTTACAAGCCGCCCACGTAAATACTGGACACACTGAAGGTACCCGTGCGAAGGCCAGCTGCTACTTGATATCCTTCGTAGGATTCATCCTCATCACTCAGCAAAGACTGATGGATTCGTTCCCTACATCGTCAAAACAAACTTCAAAAAGTACTGCTCGAAAACTTCTTGACAGCATTCTGCCACTCTCTTCAAGTCGTTCTATGAATTTTTTTGAAAAATGCTACGAAATGCTACGATAAATGGTACGCGAAGTACGATATTTCGTGACGTTTCCCGGGACACAGCGCGCGAAGTACGATATTTCGTGACGTTTCCCGGGACACAGCGCTCCACAGAAAAGTGACCTGAGGCAAAGCTCGCCCGCCTGAATGTGTGGCCGTGTCACCTCCCGGTATTGTACTACTCCCTGGTGTCTACAACAACAAACAACAACAAGTCTAGGGCTGTGTTTTTATAACATGAGAAATTTGAACCCGGGTGGAGTTCAGCCCGGGTTGAAAGTCTGTACGATAGACAAAAGAGCTAGAGGTGCATCTGCAGTGCTGTTCAAACCAGGGAGTAGTACAATACCATATATATATGGTATTGTACTACTCCCTGGTTCAAACCTGGCGCGAGATACGCACAGAAGTACGTTTGTACGATTTTCTTGACCCGGGTTGATTTCAACCCTCCCCTTGGGGGGGGGAGGGTTGAAATCAAAAAAAAAAAAAAAAAATTTCACGGTTCGCGTGAGACTCGGCCAAAGGCCCAGTTTTCCGCATCCGCAGGAACGCCACCACCCTCTTGGATCAAGGCGCAGATGCAGCTCCTAAGCGGTGGGAGGTGAGTAGATCAGACCCACCACAAAGTGGTCAAAGACCGAAATCCCATTCACTGCATCCATGTTTCCCTCGTGCCAGGCCACGAGTTCCCAATTAACTGTGGGTCGCAGCACGGCTGGAAAAAATCCTTCCGCTTCCAAGCAGGACTTGAACCTGGTACCCTCTGTTTCTCAATCATGGTCTTAGACCGGCGAAATTTCAACCCGGGTCAAGCGCAATAAAAAAATAATAAAAAAAAATTATCGTACCCGTTCCCGAAGGTTTACCGACCATTCACCGAATGACAATTCACCGAAAGACACTTCACCGAAAGACACTTCACCGAAAGACAAATCATCGAATGGACAATCCACCGACTGGACAATTCACCGAAAGACACTTCACAGAAAGACATTTCACCGAATGGCTATATCACCGACAAGACAGCTCACCGAAATTCTACTCTAAATTGTAATGACTGGTTCGTAGTCAGGCTAACTTCACCGGCGCTGAGTTTCGCATGGCTGAAATGCTGACGTACTGCCACTACTGGCGCTGGTTGCACGTTATGTTGCAAATGTAGTATGTACATGGACAGTCAGACGTCGCATAACCACTGAGTGCATGTGTCGGGTTTGCGTGCAAAAATTACTACATTTCCACGGTTGTGACCAAAATGACCGAACTGGCAAGCACAACAATTACAAATATGGAAGAATAGCTCTGAAAAGCAGCGAGTTTTTACTGAATCAATCCCTTATTCCAATCATCACCACTGGTAAGAGTAAAATACTGTGTTAGCTGGTTGAAACATCAACAGTAAGGGTTCATTTTAGTACGTTTTGGGTGAAAAATATGAGACAATCAAAACCGTAATGATTAGCTAGATCCATCGCTTTTTGGTATAATCGTTTCAACCCTAGTAAACATTACACAAACGTGTAAACATTACATGGTCAATGAAATCCGATAAAATCTCTGTAGTAGCGAGGTCTGACTGTATATCAACCAGCCTTCTATTGTCAAAAATTCAAAATTCTTCAACGTTGTGGAGTGATTGCTAGGCCTTGACGGATTATGCTAATATTTTCGTGAAATTATGCTTTTCGCATTGCTGAAAAAACTGCAGAATTATGCTATTTCTATGCTAAAAGTTATCATATTATGCCGCATTATACTCACATTATATGCTGCTAATGTACATGTTTATGATGGTTCTGTGCAAAATAACAAGGGGATTTTTTTATAGGGCGTTGTACTGTAGTACTAGTAGCAAAAGTTCAACGGGGTCAACGCACCGTCCGACCTACACTTGTAGCTACGACCATCACTGATTGTAATGGACTGGACATGTTATCAAGGGAGTCGTAAACCTACGACTTCCTGGTGCATCTACTTGTACGGTACTTGTAGAACATGTACAACTCTATGGAATTTGGTGCGAACAGGCGGATTATTCCATTATTTGTGCGATTCGTATGCAATTTGCCTCGAATTATGCGATTATTCGATTTTGGTAGGAATTATGCGAAACATTATGCTAGCATAATCCGTCAAGGCCTAGTGATTGCAACATTTTCGCTGCTTGTCTATTGTTCTTCATTGATCTGCTCACCTCTGTAGACAAATGGAGACCTCCTCGATAGGCTTACAAGGAATCCTTGAAATATATATAAAAATCCAAAATTCTCTCCGTCCTTCTTTGTTTTTTCTTTCTTTCGGTGAAATGTCTGTTCGGCGAATTGGCCGCTCGGTGAACTGTCATTCTGTGAGTTGTGCATTCGGTGAAATGGGCATTCTGTGAACTGGGTATTCGGTGAGCTGTCGTTCGGTGAGCTGTCGGTCGGTGAACTGTCGCTCGGTGAACTGTCGTTCGGTGATATGTCGGGATACCGAAGGGAACTCACGAGTCACGACGGCCGTTTAATTACACTGAACACCCGATAGCGCAATGCGTCATGTAAACGCGCCATTCACTTTGTGCACATGGCGGGTTGAAATCTGACCCGGGTCGAACTCAACCCGGGTTAAAACGCTTCATGTAAACACAGCCTAGTATTGTACTAGCCCTTTCAGTGCCAAGGCCAAGGGGCCCGGGGGTCAGAAAAATTTTCCGAGCTCATGAGCTGAACTCAAATTCTAGACAGACAGTATAGGACAGTCAACTACTTGCCAGTTGCAGCATAGCTTGGTGGCCTTGCCCGTCTACTACCAGGGAGTACATGTACCTACTACATGACAGAGCGAGCATGTTTGCTCCTGCCATGCCTGAGTCCCCTGCTGTGCTAGTGGCGGCGGAGGCACGCATCCAGTGAACCTGCACAGTGCAGTGATCCTACTGAGTGACAGACTCTGTAAATACTGTATCTGATGATTCGTTTTATGTGTTGATTCTTCACAAAATGTGTTATTTTGCCCGTACAAGAGGCTCAGCAGACCTTGAAAAAAAAACTACGTGACATGTACTCCCTGTCTACTTTTTTTTTTTTTTTCATGTGTGATAAAGCCTCTTGTACGGGCAAAAGCGACACAATGATGAGAAACCAGGGTATGATAGGAAGATAATATTAAAAATACTACACAGGTGTGGACAATATGTCTCCGGAATGGCGAGAGTCACACTAAAGGAGACCTCCTCGATAGGCTTACAAGGAATCCTTGAAATATATATAAAAATCCAAAATTCTCTCCGTCCTTCTTTGTTTTTTCTTTCTTTCGGTGAAATGTCTGTTCGGCGAATTGGCCGCTCGGTGAACTGTCATTCTGTGAGTTGTGCATTCGGTGAAATGGGCATTCTGTGAACTGGGTATTCGGTGAGCTGTCGTTCGGTGAGCTGTCGGTCGGTGAACTGTCGCTCGGTGAACTGTCGTTCGGTGATATGTCGGGATACCGAAGGGAACTCACGAGTCACGACGGCCGTTTAATTACACTGAACACCCGATAGCGCAATGCGTCATGTAAACGCGCCATTCACTTTGTGCACATGGCGGGTTGAAATCTGACCCGGGTCGAACTCAACCCGGGTTAAAACGCTTCATGTAAACACAGCCTAGTATTGTACTAGCCCTTTCAGTGCCAAGGCCAAGGGGCCCGGGGGTCAGAAAAATTTACACACTAAAAAAAAAAAAAACTCCCTGTCTACTAGTACTACGCGTACTAGTACTACTACGAGGACTCGTACATGTACATGTACTACTACTACTACTACGAGTACTAGTCCTACAGTACAATCATAATTAATAATAATAATTATTATTATTGTATGTTGTAGAAGTTTATTTAACGTCGCACCACAAACAGGCGATTTCGCCTCCTTTGATACATGTGGACGACAGAAGGAATGAGAGAGAGGGGGGGGGGGGCAGAAGTATGGAGAGAGGAAGGGTAGAAATAAATAAGCAATCAACCTCAGGGCTACACCAAAGCAAAAACGGAATGGGAACATACTATATACAAAATAGCTTCATACATATATTGCAAAACACGTTTACTATTCTTCAGTCCGCTATACCACAGAAACACACTAGCCGAAAAGCATTTAAACGGAGCCATGATGCGCTTTTAGCAGGGCACTCATTATTATTATTATTATCACTCCCTTAGTATTGACTCACATAGATTTTTGCCATACCTAAGCAGTCAAATATTCCTGCATATTTCACTCCTTAGGGCTATATTGACTGCTTATATTTGACTGCTTAGGGGTTGCGCAGTTGAACGGTGCCTAGTGCAGCATTGTCACTGCATGAGTAGGTGGTGGTGCAACGGTTGTGCAATCATAAAACCGGGATTCATGAGGTTATCGTTTTGGAATTTGAAATACGGACTGTTTGTCGTGATAAATCTAATACAGTCGTCCCTCTCTAATCCGGCACTTTATAATCCAGCACCCTCGATAAACCAGCACAATTTTCAGTAGCCAAATGTCCTCTTCATGCACATTGCAGCAGTAAATCAGATTTGTTAATCCAGCACCCTCCCTAATCCAGCAGATTTTCGTGGCACAAA